AGCTGGGAAGTAAACTCCTATTATTCTTAATTTTTGTTTTTTAGGGAAGGCCAAGTCTATGTGGATAAGTCTTCCTGACCATGTATCATACTTAAAAACTCTCTTTGTCAACTCTTTGTTGAGCATAATGTTCAGTCCTTGTCCTATTTTTTGTTTTTCATCATGGGACCATATTATATTATATTTTGGATGCTTCCAGTGTTTGGATTGTGAATTTGTTTCATTCGTCTTTGTTGTTACGACTATATCCCATTCTTTCATGGCACACCAGGTGAACCAGTCAATCCTTTTTTGATCGTTTACCAAGCCTTGGATATTGTATGTTGTGGCCTACCAAATAGTGTCTTTTAGATTTTCTTCTGTTTTGTTTGGGTCATTGTTTGTTGTATATTGTGTTTCATTTGTCTGTGAATTGGTGAGCATAATAGTGTTGTATATGTCATTGGTTATTGTGTTTCTTATTATGGAGATTTTGCTATTATTTAAGATATTCTCCATGTTTCGACTCATTGATGGATAGGAGTGAGTTGGGATGAATTCGAGTTCAAAGTATTTGTCAAGGCATTAAACATTCTATCCATGTTTTGGTTCAATCTATTCATAGTAGAGTGGATACGTTGTTGTTTGGCTTGGATGTCTTGAAGATTATCAGGTGACTCTTCATTGTTTTCTACTATGTGGTTATAGTTCTCTTCGATGTTTTGGAGTTCCTCTACTTGTTCTATATATTCCTCATTGTAGCTCTCCAGGTTGACAATGCGTTCATCTAAGTCTGCTATGTCTTCTCTGATCTTCTTGATTTCTCCCCTGATTTCTCTTAACATTTCTAGGATTTCATCCATTGTGTTTGTCGACTTTGATTCAAAGGATTGGTTGTCTCTAGTTTGTTGGTCTTATTTGGCTGCTGCTGCATATGATCCTGATTTAGTGGTGTTGTATTTTTGTTTGGATAAGTTTCTAATTGCACCTGTTCTTACTGGTTTGTATTTGGTGTAGAGTTTGCTGAAATGTTTGACTTGTTTTGATCTGTACTGCTTCCATTGTGCATGGCATTCTTTTAGTGGGCAGTTTGCTACTAAGTGTTCCACGCTGCTGCAGAGGCTGCATAGTTTGGTTTCAATATGTTTCCATTCTATTATAGTTTCCCCAAGTTGAAAATTTTCTTTAGTGGCTGCTTCTCTGGTTTCCTCGCTTTCAAAGCTGATTACTACAAATCTTTTTCTTTTGTATAAAAGGTATCTTGGGATGTAACATGTTTTGACCTTGGTTTGCTCACATATGTGTCAAAGATCGAAGGCTGTTGTGTTTGGTGGTAGGTTAGTTAGTTTGGCTACTATAGCCCCTCTTTCTTTCATTTGTTCAACGTTCCATTGAGCATCGAAAACTCTGACTGAGTCTGCTCGTAGTGGGACACTCTATTTGTTGATAACTGCAGTCTTGTTTTCTTTGTCTGCATAGATTATTGTAGCAGTTTGCCACATTTGTTGAGTTGTTATAGTGATATTGGTAATCTCACCATATTTGGCAAAGGCTTTTCGTACTTCAATAAATTTAACTTCTAGGGGTATGTCCCATACTACGATACTGTTTTCCTTTTTTTGTACCAAGGATGTAGTTGCCATGTGTTCGAGATGCATATTACTTGTGTCTGGTAAGATTACGTTGCATGCCTCTTCTGCAGCTTGTTTATCTCCAAATATGGCTATGATGTGTTCATTTTCGTTTTTTCCTTCACTAAAGATAGATATGAGGTCAACGAGAGAGTCGAGGCTCTTAGTAAGGAAGGTGACTTTTTGACTTGTTGTTCGGCCTGGAATTGTGCTTGCTTTTATTCCTGTCTTGGCTCTTTCTCTTCCAAATCTAGTTCTTCCATCGAATGGGAATCTAGGTCTGGGTCTACCAAAAGTGTTGGTTTTGGTTTTTCTATTTCTTTTCCCTGTCTACCATTTTTCTTCAAGGTTTCAGTTTGTTTGAGAGATGTTTTCTTCAGTTTCTTCTTTCAAGTCCATTTCTACATCTGAGTCGATGGTTCGTACTCCTGTTCCGATGTCTTCTGGTTGTGTTGTTGGACTTTCTTTTAGGTTTTCAGGAGCGGATGTGCTTCCTCCACTAGTTAATGTTGTCGAAATTTCTTCTTCTACTTGCTCACTCCAGGTGGAGTTGTTGGTTGTCGTTTTCCTGGATATGATACTGCTTGGACCTTTCAAAGTTGATTGTTGTTTATTGTTGGGACTATTCGTATGTTTTTCTTGTCTGTTTTTTTCTCGTAAGACTGTTTTCCCTTTGTTTTTGTTGACTTCTTTTCCAGTGTCCAGGTTCGATTCTTTGCGCATATTTCTTGTGTTACCTCTTGCTAAGATATTCTCATTATAGTTGGGTCACCCCGAACTATATTGTTTTCTAGGTTCTCTTAGAGAACTCATCTCTTCCATTCACTTTCTTTCTTTTTTCCAAAATTACCAAAAAAGGAAATTTTTAAGAAAAAAGGATCTGCGGGAAAGAGTTTTTTTTTTGAATGACCATATTATATTCTATTTTATTTATGATGTAAATAATACTAGTTATGTTGTAGAGAGAAAAATATCATAAAAAATATCACAAAATTTTAAAAAAACATGTAAAAGTGTTAAAGGAATATAAAAAAAAAATCGGGATTTTTTTTTTTAATTATCTTAAATAGTTTCATTTAAATTTAATTAAATTGCTAAATTTTATTTGAACCTGGCTAGATTTTAAAACTTGAAATTTGTATCTGATTTGAATATAAACAGTTCCAAAAAAATTAAAATCTGATTTGATCCATTCAGATCAAATCTTTGGATCATTCAATTTCAGATAAAAATTGCGATTCCTAGTAACAATAATATATAACAAAGTAATATAATCTGAATAAAAAAATTCTCAATATACAGTATAATATACCAAAGTTCTCAAATGGCACCAAGTAGACATACTATACAACATGATAGCCAAAAAAGAAGAATCTTTTTGATTCTCATTACTTAAGAACAATATATAACAATTTATCAACAATTATATTAAATACAATATTATTGATCCAGAAGTACAAATCAGATCTACTATATAGATATATAGTAACAAGATATCAGAATCAAAATTCTTATAGTATACTGTATTATAGTTAAAGATAAAGCCAATATCCTGGAAAAGTGCATTAGTATTCAAGGCACTAGCTTTAAACTTTACCACTACATATCGAGCAAGAAATCTTTAGTAGAGAAATATTTAAGATATAAACTCAATGAAAATATTGACACAAAGTTGGGAATGTACTGCTTTAAATTACTATAATATAGAACAGTTGTAGTATCAATAGTATTAACAGTGAAATTAATTCACAATCCCAACTCAGAAACCAAATTAAAAATGCAAGTATCACTAGACAGTATTAACAGATAGATAAATAAACTAAATGATAGCTTTGATTCAATCCAAATAGATACTATACCAACTATTATTCAAAATATATACAAAGTCATTAATTTATTTAAAACAATCAAACAAAGAATAGGGGACATCCACAAGAACCTTCAAGAAAAAAATAACTTCTGTATAATAATAGATAGTGCTTTTAATTCTAATCAACTTCAATAATAGGAATTGGTTTTTATATATAGAATGACATCATACAAATATCAAAAACAACAAACATAAAAATCTCAGACTAAGTATCTGCTTTTAGAGCTAAACTCTTTGTAGCAACTATTGTTTTGAGCTGTATTTCATACAGAAGCATAACAACAATATATATTAATTCTAGTAAACTAATAAAAAAATAAACAATAGTATAAACAACTATACAAAAAAAATTATGGATTATAGACTCATTAAAAACCTTTCTGTGATAATTCGATCAGCACAATTGATGCAAAACTAACAGTAACTATAATACAAACATCACTCTTAATCTAGTAAATGAGCTAGCAAAAGCTGCTTTAAAAAGAGACACAAAAGATAGTATAATAATGCAGAAAATTCTCAAAATCCAGATAACATTCTTCATATTCAATAAATCTATCAAAATATCAAATATTATCTGAAAAGCAATTAAACAGATATATCAAACTGAATTGATATACAGATGGAACCATTTAGAAAGAAACAATAGTATAGAGTGCAAAAATTGATTAGAGATACTTTATTGAATCCCTAAATCTATTAAAATTTACTAGCATATATATAGATATTTCAATAATATGTAAAGAAAATTTTTGGAACTCTTTCTACTGATCCTCTAACTACATACAAAAAAGATGTTTGCAAGAAGTTTTTATACTTCTTTGCTAATAAAGTCTTAATACTTTCATTAAAACA